GTAAATGTACAGGACAGGAGATTTAAAGTACCTTGCCCAGCTGCCAGGGTTTGTCATCGAACTACAGAATGCTCTTCTATTCTGTCCACCCTACTGATCTCTAGAGCAGAAAGGCGCTATGTTTGTATGGTTCTGACAGTCTTTCAGTCTTGGGTGTGCCCTCTGATAACCACTCAGTGCCCTTCTTATCTACAGCCCCTGATTTTGGGATCCTTGGATGTCTTGGGTGAATACTTAGAAAGTGGTGTAGGAATGAAGGGTGCCCTTAGAGGAGGCTGAGTGAGTTTGGGAATTTCACTCTTCTGGGGAATTTTGGGGAATTTTCACTCTTTGCTTTTTTTCCCCCCTTTGAGTTTCTTATATCAGCCCGAAGTTAACTGGGATAGTAACTACCACACCTCCTTTTCTGCCAATCAGTTGCTCATATTAGAAAACTTACAGTTAACATAATATTTAATGGTGAATTATCAAAAACTTACCTTATAAGGGAATAAGGCAAGAATGCCAGCTCTCAGCGCTGTCACTCTTCAGTCATTGCAGTAAGGGAAGAAGAATAACTATAAAGATGAGAAAGAAGTAAAACTGTCTCTGTTTGCAGATGACATGATTATGGTACATAGAGACTCGTAAGGAATCTTCAAAGCAACTGTTAAGACCTGATACGTGAATTACGTAGGATTGCAGAATTCAAGGTCAATATTTAAAAAACTGATTTTATGTTTATAGTGTAGCAGCAGAAAACCAGAAAATGAAGTTTAATAAACAGATTCATTTATAGTAACTACAAAAAAAGCCCCATGAACTAGTTAGGAGTAACTATAACAAAAGATATGCAAGACCTCTTTACTGAAAACACCGGAATAATGCTGAAAGAAGATCTAAGTAAATGGGGAGATTTGCCATGTTTGTGCATGAGAAGACTCAATTTAGATTTTGGTTCTCCCCATATTCATATATAGAGTCACTGCAATCCTAATAAAAATACTGCTGGCTTTAACAGTTCAGTAAGAAAACAGCCCACTAAACATGAGCAGATAAATTGGACAGATTTTCACAAAAGAAGATAGACAAATGGCCAATAAGCACATAAAAAGATGCTCAACATCAGTGGCCATCGGGAAAGGCAAATTAAAACCACACTGAGATACCACGGTACATTTATTAGGGTAGCTAAGATTAAAAAAACTGAATACCAAGGATTGCTGAGAATGTGGAGCAACTGGACTTGTGCACTGCTGGGAGCAGTTCAAAATGATACACTTGCTTTGGAAAACTGCTCAGCAATTTCTGAAAAGTTAAACATAAACCTACCATATCACTCAGCTCTTCTACTCCTAAGGTATTTATTTACCCAAGAGAAATGAAGTATATGTCCATCTGGACGTTCACAGAAGCTTTATTACAGTAGTCCCAAACTGGAAGCAATCCAGTTACGTCCATTTTTGTTAGACTAGTCCATCAGTAGTTAACTAGATAAACAAAAAAGAGTGATACAGTCATACGATGGAATATTATTCAGCAATAGAGGAACATCTGATATATGCAGTATGAATGTCACTAAGCTGAATGAAAGAAACCTGAAGCAGAGGACATAATGTGTGATTCTATTTATAAAAAAACATAGAAAATGCATGCTAATCTACAGTGACATCAAATCTTTTGTTACCTGGATCTAGGAGGACTGGGAAGGAGAGAGCAGAATGGGGCATATGGAATTTGGAGTGATGGAAATTTAATCTTTTTTTAAAATTTCTTACCTTTATTGGTGGTAGTTTCATGCCCATATGCACGTGTCAAAACTCACTGAACCGTACACTTTAAATATTGCAGTTCTATGTAAATCATACCTCAATGTTGATACAGAAGATAGTGACTGACAAGTACATGATAAAGAATGTTTTCAGTAAATTAGCTTTATTGGTGTGGGCCAATTCTAATTGCTAGTTCATATTTTCATAAGATGATCTATTTCACTTGAGATATAACAGTCTTATTAAGGATCAGGTAGCCGCCAAATAAGCAAATAAAAGACTGCTTTGTTTTCTTAAATTCTTTTCAGTTAAAAAGGTATAATTGTGGAGTCTGTTATTTTTGTTTTGGTTCTCGAGCTCAGGTTTCCTATGTTAATTCTTTTTTTTCTTCCTTTATTCCTTTCCAAGCTATTTTAAATGTACTATCCAGAATTATCAAAGTTGAATTTGTTGACTTGGGAAGTAAAAAACCTTTTGTTTCTGACCTCTTAGTTGGTGAGTCTGTAAATAGGGTCTTCACACTTCTCTAACCGTTCAGATGTCTCCCCTCTATGTTTAACTTTAGCTCTATCACTTCAGATATGGAATTAGACCAAGTAAATACAATAAAAGATCCATGATTAAATGCATAATTTTTAATATGAGGAAGAGTAAGTGGAGAAAAGTCCAACTTTCCCTTTGTGGAAGCAGGGATTGAACCATGAGCTGCAAAAATTTTAGTGATTTGCTCACCTTCTCCATTCTCCACATCTCATTTTAAAAAAGCTGTGGCAGGGGTGCCTGGGTGGCTCAGTGGCTTAAAAAAGCTGTGGCATCTTTAGTCACATAGTTAACATCGATTTCCAGGTCATTTTCCCATATGTTATTGTAAAAGTCCTCTAAAAACAACATCCATGTTTTGGAGCTTTTATAAGGTCTTCTGATACTTACTCAAATTTTTGTTTTGTTTTCTATTTTCACTCAGTTTTTTTTGATCTACACATTTATATATCTCATCTATTCATACTTAGGATTTTTTCATAAGAGGAATGGATTTAGAAAATGGGGTTATCAGATTTGTTTAAGCAAGTATGATGTTTAAGATCTGCAAAAACGTAAAGAAAATAGCAATTCTTGGAAACTGAGTTACTCTTCCTGGCTCTTCCTGGCAGATGACTCAGCTCTGAGAATATAGGAAAGAATGTAGACTTAAATTATTGTCTCTGATTTAAATTCCCACAGACTTTTTTTTTTTTTTTTTTTTTTAACGTATAATGTGTTCTTTGCCCCAGGGGTACAGGTCTTCCCACAGACTTTTTGATATTAAGCTTCTTTCAAGATTGGAAATGGTAATAAGAAAAGCCCTTCTTTTTAAAAAGACACTTTTCTGTGGGCATCTCTACCTTACATTAAAAGCAAACTTATTTATGTATCTATTTATGCATTAATATATAAATATATAAAGGCTTCAAAAGGAAAGACAAAGAACTAAAGGTGTACACACACAATATTGTTTGGTCTTTGCCATCTACTTGAACAGTAGAAGACAAGGTGCACCCAACTGCAGAAGAACACTCAAACGCTAGGTATCTTGGGTAGATTGTAACAGAAACTGGCTTAGGGGAGCTTGAAGCTTAGGAGGGAGCTGAGAGGGATGGTGTGCTAAGAGGAATTTTCCTGTCTTCTGAGCCTTTGGAGACCCTGACCTGAAACTGAGTGAGGTAAAGGTCATTGATACAGTGTGATGGAGTTGGTGGTGGGCAGAAGCAATAAGGAGAAAGACGTAGAAATTACAAACGGCCACTGGAGAGAAGGGGAGGGCGGCTCTAAGGAATTCTTCCTTAGATGAAGATGTATGCAGATGAAGAGTATTGCTTTTTCTCTAAAGGCCAACTCAGTTGCCCATTTTGCCGTATGGGATGTCCAACTGATGCCCAACCACATCACCCCCCCCCCCCCACACACACACCCTCAGCTAACAACTGTTTTGGAAATCATCGTTCTCATTAATTGAATATTATGGTTAAATGAGAATTGACTAGGAAGTAGTTTTTGTTTGAAGAGTTATTGCAAATAAATACCTTTAGGAATGTTCACATTCCTGTGTAAATTGATTATAACGATCATTGTCATTGCTTTTGCTCCAAGACATCATTTTCATTTTGAACATGTTGTAGGTTATGTTCTTGAATGTAGAGACTGTCTTTTACTTGTGTTTTCATGGCACTAAATCTGTTGGGTAGCTCGGGTATACACTTGTAGAAAGGACATTCGTCATTGTTCAGTGAAGATAAAGGATGTTTGGATGATAGTTTTTGTTTTTGTTTTTCCTTGTAAGTGATTCCTTGGTTATTTTGTGTGCCCTTCCACACTGATAATTAAAAACAAGAAACCAAAGTTCTATGGTACTTGAGGGAAACAAAATTCCAGCTCTTGTATGTGTGGAACTTCATCCTCATACAGTTACTTTCTGAATTTTTGTTGTGAAGTATCGTACTTGGTCCATGATCAGATAACCACTTTAGGCTTTTAAAAGTTTTTTTAAAAGTAGGTTATCTTTTAAATTATGAAAATGGGATGAAACAGTAGCATCTTGTTTATTTATCATTTTGAAAGCAAAGACATCAACTGGTGACTTTTAAAACTTGAATTGTGTATGTTGAGCAGAGAGCAGAAGTTATTTCTAAATCGAAGTACAGGAAGCTTTAAAATGCTTGTTCATCCTTTATCAGCATTACTGAATGAATCAGCAAACTACAAAGGTCAACAAACCTTTATTTTGAATTATAACAGTAGTGTATATTTCCAGGAATAGAGAAAGATTCATGTGTAATGTAAGAATCTAAGTTTGGTGTTAATAAATTAACAGTTATAAATCTGGAAGGTTCCTTGGGTGGTGGTGTATTTTACCTTTTAGGTTTGAGAAATGTTACAAGGTCACACTGACAGATGCTAGAAGGATGTGTGCCAGTCTTTAGTCATCATGTTATTGGGTGAAAAAATAGATTACTGACCACTTAGGTGGTTTTCAGAATTAGGAAAATTGATTTTCAGATTAAGTTTCTGTAGTACCCCATATTGATGAGGCCAGGGTCGTGATGTCTTTGTTCATGCAAGTCAGCTGTACTGGCTTTGTTTATAGTTGCCAAGTCTTGTTCTTCTTTGGCCAGTTGTCTTGCAGATATGTTTCTGGCTCCCAGAGGTGGGCTCTCTTTTGCTGCTCCTGACTGTGAGAAAGCTGGTATCCAAGGACTTTTCTCTGAGTGCTGGGCTTAGTTGCATTGTTCCTATATATACCAGAATAGCTGATTGCAGTGTGTTTGGAAGAAAATGTAGATGATCTGAGTTTTGGATTTGTAGTAAATATATGAAATCATTCATTCAGAAGCAAGTTCCTGCATGGAATCAGGTACAGTTATGTTATGTGCTTGAGTTATGGCAGAAAACAAGTCAGACAAGATTTTGACCTTTAAGCTGAGACCTAAAAGGTGGGGGGTTAGACGGGTGAGGAGTAGGAGAAGTGCAGGCTGCAGCAATCCAGTGAGGTGCTCTTGTTATCCTTATTTTACAGGTGAGGAAACCAAGACCTGGCAAGGTTAAAGCAGCTTGCCTGAAGGTCATACAGCAGGTAATGGCAGAGCTGGAATTTGAACCTAGTGTGTGAAGTTAGCCACTGGACTGTGTTTTCCATACATGAGGTGGTGGTCCCTTGGTGGTTCTTGAAATCGAGTGGATCACAACTGGAATTTATTTATTTATTTAATAGAGCAGAGTAGATATTAGGATACTTTGCACTAGTAAGGATAAAATATTAACAGGTGAAACTTAGTTTCACTTTTTATTTAGTGTATTTGTACATGTGTGAGCTTAGAAGCCATTACAAAAGGTAGGCGGCACCTGTCTAGACTAGAACCAGTGATGGCTTGGACTAGAATTGTGGCAATGCAGATGGGGAGAAGTGGGTTTCAGTGTTTAGAAGCAGAGGTGGCAGGTCTCAATCAGAGATTGCCTACAAGGGCCCAAGGAGGTGTCAGGATGCGCCCAGGTTCTGCGGGCAGCAGGATCAGTCATGGCGTGCGCATGCTTCGTCCGCTTACGTGAGACCCTTTGGGTTCTTTGGAGAGGCTGTTTGTGGTACTGCCGGGGTCTCTGGCTCCTCTCTCCTTGGCTTATCTCCCAAATCTGTATCTCACAGCAAATCTCTAAGTTGGCTGAGAACTACTGACGTGATCTGTCACCCCAAACTGCCTAAACAGGAGGGCGGAGCCAAGAATAAATTCTTTCTGGGATTTGAGGTGAGTAGTGAGGGCACAGATGTGTGCTGACAGCAGCTTTAAAGTGAAGGTGTGGGAGCTGTTTTTGCTGTGGTTTCCTTGAGCCCCAGCGTACCTTTAGGTTGCAGTGTTGAAGAGTCCAGAGTCCTCTTTGTTGAAGTTCAGGTCCAGTTCATTTGCTCCTGGCGCTCTGGGAAGCCCATTTCCCTGTTTTCATGCACAACCTTTTAGTAATACTGTGGGGAGCCAGTACTGCAGTGACTTTCTATACTGTGTGTTCAGCAGCTACTAACGGGAGACAAATATGGAGTAGTCGGGTACTTGGTTTGAATCCTCATTCTTCGTCTTACTGGTTTTTTGACCATAGCCAAGATACTTCTTACTGAGCCTCAGTTTCCTTATCTGTAAGGTTGGGATGATGTAAGAGCATCAGTGTCATAGGGCTATGTTGAAGAGTAGGTAAGGTAAGCTGTGTCAGCACCTCAGGCCTGTGCCTGGTACAGAATGATAGCTCGATGAATATTTGCTGTTAGTGTTTTTAGGATAGTTTCTTGAGAGACTTAAGCATACTTATGAGCGACGTCTAATGGGAAAAAGCTGGCATAGAGAGAGAGTTTGGACAAATGTGAGAAGAGGGTGTTAGGGGAAGGTACTGGATTGAAGAAGCAAGGGTGCTTTGAGGTTGAGAGCGGACACTGGGGACTGTTTTCAGTAGGAGAGGGGGTCTGTGGAGGTGGTGGTGGGGGATAATAATTTCCGAGGTTGGATCCTCGTTTTGGTTGTCTACTGGGAAAGACATTTACTGAAGACAAAAGTGTCTACTTGGAAAGTTGTTGTGGAGAACGGGATATCAGGGCACACGAAAGAATTGATAAACAGTGCTGAGACCATGAATTTATAGTGACACCAGCCTGTGTGTTTTTATGATTTTGCCTGGCTGTGCAGCGGTCTGCAGAATGACAAGATGTAAAAGTAAGATTAGTCTAGTTACAAGGGTTTGCAAGGCAGATGCCAGAAACAAATAAAGAGGCTGGGGACTTGGGTGCAGGGACAGAGAAAGGCAAGCTGTTCAGTCTGGCTTGGCTGGGGGAGGTGTACATATTCTTAGAGAAAGTGGAGGGCGGTGGTCTGTGTGATACCACACACATGGGGCACGTGATCTCTTTGATAGTTCTTCCTTACGATTCCTAACTCTAATTCCTTGTTTTGGTAAGTGAAATACTAACACCAGTTGCAAAAGGGAATTTACTACTCTTTTGAATGGGCACAATCCAAAAGTTAAGTTAGTTCTAGTGCCTGTTTTGCAGTTGCCATGATTTTATGTGATGTGCTGAATCAGTGAGTGATCAGTTGTAAGCCTTAACCTAGGGTAGAGTTTAGCCACATAACGAGACCTTTTGTTTTCATTGACTACTTCTGAAGAACTTAACGTTTTAGCTATATTGAGTACTTCAAAGATAAACACATAAGGTAGAATTTATAGATGCATTTCATGTGTTTGTGACTAAAACAGCCCGTCTGTGAGGCAGAAGTCACCCGTGATCTGGGCCTGGTGTGCCTGAACTTTAGTAGTCCTCTTGCCTCCTCTCATTTTTGCTTGGAGTATAACGAATCTGGAAATAATAACGTTTATTCAGTCACTGAACTTTTGAGGACCTTCTTGTTTTAGGCAGTGCAGTAGTTCAGAAAAACAAAAGTGAATGACAGGTGATACCTGTGAGGAGTTTCTCAGTCTAATCATGCCATAAAGAGGTATGCATACACTCCTTGGGTGTGCTCACCACTGGCCGTTGGGCTCTGGAGGAAGATACTAGAACCTCTCTTTTAATTTCTTACTTTCAGTCTCTGTTATATAATAGATAATGTATAAGAATAGTACATGATTGAACTGTGTAGACATACATATATTGTGGCTATCTTTTTTGCTAGTAGTTTGTATATGATAAAAATGGTGGTTATGATATGTCATAATATTTAAAATATGGTATATTTTAAAATACATACACATTTTTGATAACTTATCTTTGAACATTTTCAGAAAACTAAGAGTTTCTGTGGTAAATCATGTTCTTAATGATGAAATAGTTGTACTCGTTTCCTCTATTTTGTAGTGTAAAGTATGAAATGTTCTATAAAAACACTCGTTAAGATCTGGCTTGACAGATTTGAGTCTTTTTCTCAAGTCATTTCTTCCTTATGTTGGAGGAACTTTACCTTCTGTAGAGTGTGTCTCTTGTTATAAAGCACCAAAGCCTCCTACCAGCTGTCAAATATCGGAGAAGGGTGCATGGAGAACGGTGGAATGCCATACGCCTGTTCTACTGCCAGTCCCATCCCAAGGGTGACCTCTGGGGAACTAGGCACACACGCCCATTCATGTCATAAAGCAACAGGTTTGGGATACCACCCAGAAACTTCCCGGACCAGTGAGTCTGTTTGCTCATTGGAGGTGTTTTCTCAGGGTGAAATGACTTACTTTCAGAGAACAAAAAGTTCTTCCCTCCCTCATCCTGAGATCCTTTTCCCTAAAATTAGAAAGCCTAACTAAAAATGGTGGTGAAGAACCTATTTTAAATGAAATAAAGTAATAAATATGTCTAGGTTCTCTAGGGGATTTTGTTTTCATTTTTGTTTTTGTGATGAGTAATTTATATTTGACACTGTCATTTTTAAAAATACTTCTAATAAGACTTTATTCAAGTGAAATGTTGCATGTGTTTTTGCAGGTTTGATGACGACGAGAAGCATGCTTTCACTGAACTTCCCGACACCATTTGTTATGCAGAATGTCTCTGAGTGAGATCGCGGTTTTTGCCTATGAATCTTCGGTGCACAGCACCAATGTCTTGCTCAGCCTCAATGACCAGCGGAAGAAGGACGTGCTGTGTGATGTCACTGTCCTTGTGGAGGGCCAGCGGTTCCGTGCCCACCGATCCGTGTTGGCGGCGTGCAGCAGCTACCTCCACTCGAGAATCGTAGGACAGGCCGATGCAGAGCTTAACATTACTCTACCAGAAGAGGTGGGAGAGAGGTCCTTGCTTCTGGAAGCCACCTGATTTTAATTTAACTGAACCTAATTAAATCTCTTTATGGTTTATAAATTTAAAAATAAAACAGAATCCTTCTTGTCATGAGGCTGAGGAGCAGTTCCCAGGTTCTGTAGCAACTCATTTCTTTAACTTTTTTCATGGAAATTACAACATTTTTACATGTAGAATTGTTAGTTTTGGATGTTAGTTAACGATATTTATTGAGCAGTTGAATAACTTGACCTACTGTGATAGTCTTTTTTTTTTTTTTTTTTTTTTTTTAGAAAGAGTATATGTGTAAGTGTGGAGCAAAGGAGAGGGAGAAAGAGAATCTAAAGCAGGCTCCATGTGCAGTATGGAGCCTGAGGCAGGGATTGATCTCATAATCCTAAAATCATGAGCTGAGCCAAAATCAAGAGTTGGTTGCTTAACTGACTGAGCCACCCAGGTGGCCCTATGTTATTTTCTGATACAGTGACCAAAGCAGGGCACAGCCAGTGGTTTGTAGACATTGGGAGAGATCATGCTTAGAGTCATGGACACACTGTCTCACATTCTCTCCCTTTGATCTTTTCCTGTAATGGGAAACTGAGTGGGTTTAGGGTTCTAGAAATCATTTTTGACATGGCCTCATGGAAAGTAGGTACTCCGTAAGTGTTCTACTGCCCCCCTTCTTCTTTCTTGAGATTGTTTCTTTGCATTGGTAAACAAAAGGTGATTTTGTGTCATAATTGTAGAGCTTGGTTTTACACATGTCTTTCCCAGCAACCTGTTGTGGAGCTCAAGCATGTAAATGTTTCTGTCCTTGTTATGTCCTGCCTCCAAGAGACCTCTCACGGGTCTGCGAAGTGCTGGTTATACTTACTCTTACTCGAATAGAATAGCTTGCTTTTATTTAGTGAGTGAATGCAGCTAGAAGAATGTTGAGCCTTGTGACACTGGGACACAAAATAGCAGCTGTTAGGAGGAGTTTGGAGAAAGTATATAGAACTTTTTTGTTTATGACAGGTCTGTGTGGGCAACTCTCTGATGGATACTAAGCCTACATACAGTTTAGCTTACGCTTGTCACTCGTGCTTCCATGAAATTGTTGTTACGGTTTGGGGAATCAACAGATTGTCACTTCTGTGGCAGAGATCAGTGAATAAGGCAATACCAAGAAAATGATAAAGGCCAACTATAGGTTAGCCTTTGTTTTTAGAAAGGAGCAACACATATCATAATGGCTGTGTTTACCGTCTTTACCTCATATGAGTAAAATTGTAATTCATGTGTCTTTAAGAGTGTAAGGTATAAAGTGGAGGGTATGGTTCCAGTGAATGGGGTATGTTAAGCATGCTTTTCCAGACTCCTAATTAGCTTTATATTTTCTAGAAGAATATTTTTACTTACAAATTAAAAGACCTGTTTTATAATGATCCAAGTAAGTTATTCATCTCTCTATTCCCCTTCTACTTTTCTTTATCTACTAGACTGCTTTCAAGTGATGCATTTGTTTTTATTTTGTATATTAAACAGGTGACAGTTAAAGGATTTGAACCTTTGATTCAGTTTGCCTACACTGCCAAACTGATTTTAAATAAGGACAATGTGGATGAAGTGTGCAAGTGTGTGGAATTTTTAGGTGTACGTGACATTGAGGAGTCCTGCTTTCAGTTTCTCAAATTTAAATTTTTGGACTCCACTGCTGACCAGCAAGAATGCCTAAGAAAAAAATGCATCCCATCACACTGTCAAAAAGCAGACCTTAAATTTTCACTTTTGGACCAGAGGGATTTAGAAATTGACGAAGTGGAGGAATTTTTGGAAAATAAAAATGTCCAGACTTCTCAGTGGAAACTGCATAGGTATCAAGCAAATGCAAAAGTATCATCTCCTCTGCAAGACAGTGCCAGTCAAACCTGTGAATCCATGTGCTTAGAAAAGGATGCTGCTCTGGCTTTGCCATCTTTATGCCCCAAATACAGAAAATTCCAAAAAGCTTTCGGCACTGACCGAGTCCGTACTGTGGAATCCAGTGTCAAGGACGTTCATGCTGCTTCTGTTCAGCCGAATGAGACACCTGAAAATGAGTGTCTGGGAAGAATCCAGGACTGTGCAGATCTGCAGGTGATATTAAAATGTGAAGAAAGTAAATTAGCAACAGAACATGAAGAAACCAAGAAGGAAGATCCTGCTTCTCATTGCCCGTCAGAAAAATCGGAAGTGACTCCTTTCCCCCACAATTCTTCTGCAGACCCTCATGGGCTCTATTCTCTGTCTCTTTTACACACATATGACCAATATGGTGACTTGAATTTTGCTGGAATGCAAAACACAGCAGTGTTAACAGAAAAGCCTTTGTCAGGTACAGAGGTTAAAGAGGAGAAAACATTTGGTGAAAGTCAGGATTTACATTTGAAATCTGACTCTGGCCCCAGGGAAGACAGTAGCCTTGCCTCTAGCGATCGGAGTAGTGTGGAACGGGAAGTGGCAGAACACCTAGCAAAAGGCTTCTGGAGTGACATTTGCAGCACAGACTCTTCTTGCCAAATGCAGTTATCACCTGCTGTGGCCAAAGATGGCTCAGAACAGATCTACTCACAGAAACGGTCTGAGTGTCCCTGGTTAGGTATCAGGATTAGTGAGAGCCCAGAGCCGGGTCAGAGGACTTTCACAACGTTGAGTTCTGTCAACTGCCCTTTTATAAGTACTCTGAGTACCGAAGGCTGTTCAAGCAATTTGGAAATTGGAAATGTTGAGTATGTTTCAGAACCCCAGCAGGAACCTTGCCCATACGCTTGTGTGATTAGCTTGGGAGATGACTCTGAGACCGATACTGAAGGTGACAGCGAACCCTGTTCAGCCAGAGAACAAGAATGTGAGGTGAGGGGAAAATGTGTGTGTTGTTAAGTCCTTGTTTTACCAGTGTTAATCAGGATTCACTCTGTGTCAGCTCCTGTTGTGCCACTAGGGAAATATGAGCAGGCTCGGGGGTTGGAAACCCATAGACCATGTGATCAGTACCAAAAGAGTGTGACCACTCTTCTGTGGTGAAGAACAGGACTTCTCCGTTCATGTATTTCAAGCAGGTATATTTATGTTTGCCTTGGAGTGGATTCACACGTTGGCTGTTTAATTGTTTAAATCAAATACCGTGTCCCAAGACAGGGAAGAAAAGAGTCTGTGACTGTTACATGGTAACTCCTGGAAAAATGCAACATATATTCCTATCTTATTCATTGCCACAGGATCCCTGGACTAGTCACTTAGCAGTGACTTAGTAGTGACTAGGTGTAGGAATGTGGCTTCTAATGCTGAGTTTTCTTTGCCTTAGTTTTTCAGAGCCATTAATTTTTTCCTTATTTTCCTTAGCCATTTCAGCCATTAATTTAATGTCTTAATAATTTGGCATGAGTTACATGTAGCTGATATGGTATTAACCTTACCAAGCATGACCTGTGTAGTTTGTGTACAAATGTTTGTATTTGATAGCTGCTTTTTTGTAAAACATTACCATAATTCCAGTGATAATAAATGCTTGTTGGTTCTTTATCATTTTCTTTAGTTTCTAGCTGTTGGATGACATGGGTTTAATAAAAGAGGGACAGATGTTCTCCCCCTCCACCCACCGCTGGCTTGGCTTTGAAGGGAGGTTATAGGTGATTTAATTTAAGAAGTAATATGTACGTGTGAGATATTTCTATAGATCTATTTATGGCATTTATAAACCCAGTGTTTGGAACTATGAAAATAATATTAAAAAATAAAACATTTAAGAAATCTAAAACATTTTGTATAACTAGTTTCTCTAAGTTTGAAAGACAGATTAAGTAGGTTTCCAGAGAAACTTGATCAGTGTTTTGTAAGCATTTTTGATAATATCATTAAATTGTCACACAGTTTATTTAAAAAAAAAAATTTCTCCTTTTTCCAAATTTAAGTATGTTGAAAATGACTTTGAAATATTCATAAGGCTTTTCTAACCATTTCTATACTGGAAAGTGAAATGTGTAGATTTTTAAGTTGAGTTATATGAAACTGCTATTCTCTTGACAGAAAACTTGATTTTCTGAAATGCCTTAGAAATTACTAGTGTAATTATACCAGTGTTCAATCAGTGCTACCCAGTAATATAAGTCAAAGTATAAAATATATATATATATATTTTTTAGTTTGGTCAGACACATTAAAAATGCTTTAAAAAGAAGTTTAAAGATATTTTTGTGTTATTAAAATACCCTAGTAAAAGAACTTAAATTCTCTTTATTTTAAATACATGAATATTTGTGTTAATATTTTTATTTGCTAAAAAAATATGCTTCTCAATTTTCTTGTTTTCTGAATGCTCTTAAATAATCTAGAAATATCAAATTATCAGTCATTTTTAATAAGGGATTATATAGAAATTGGGAATAGAGGTCTATTTTTTTTTAAGTTTAAATAAAATTCCCTGGAAAATATAGATGTGTATCTTCCTCTTCCTAGATTTAAGTGTAACTCCATAGTATGGCAACAATTACTCATGTTTATTTTACATTCTAGGTAAAACTGCCATTTAATGCACAACGAATAATTTCACTCTCTCGAAATGATTTTCAATCCTTGTTGAAAATGCACAAGCTGACTCCAGAACAACTGGAATGTATCCATGATATTCGAAGAAGAAGTAAAAACAGAATTGCTGCACAGCGCTGTCGCAAGAGGAAACTTGACTGCATACAGAATCTTGAATCAGAAATTGAGAAGCTGGTAAGGATACAAGTTTCTTGCTGCTTAAATTCTACCAAACTCATTCATTCTTTCTTTTTTATAGAGGAAATCACTGTTTCAATTCCCAAGTCAGCTGTAATGCTCAGTTATACGTTAATTTCAAAATTTACCAATTACCATTTTAAGAAAATAAATTATATGACATTTTCAGAAAGTTTAAGAAATGAGAAAATGAGAGTTTTCATAGACTGTTTTCCTTATGTGAGTATTCTACCTTTTTAGGGTGTTATGCTATAACATGTAAATTTTGAACTATTTCTGGGTGGTTTTTTAATGATATATAAATAAAGGGTAATTTTACTGACTGCTTAATTCTTTTTTGAAGGATTTTATTTATTTATTTGAGAGAGAGAGAATGCATGCATGAGCACAAGATAACATGAGGGGGGCTGCCCACAGAGGCAGAGGGAAAAGAAAGCGCCCCACCAAGCAGGAAGCTCAGTGATGTGGGGCTTGATCCCAGAACCCCGGGATCATGACTTGAGCCGAAGGCAGATGATTAACCAGCTGAGGCACCCAGGTGCCCCACAGTTTACCGAATTTTTAGTGTCTGGGTAAAGATTAAAGAAATGATGAAACACTTTAATCTCTTTGTCGGTGTTTGGTGTCTATAAAAGCTAATGTTCTAGTTGTTCATTTAAATGAACTGTAAACTTGAATAACTTGTTTTTGTTGCTACCAGAACAAATAAAACAACTTGGATCTTTCATCTAAGGGAAAAAACTCATACGCTGGTATGGATAGAAATTTTAAGATCTAATGAGACTCTAAGTAGAAGAATGCTTACTTTATTGAATCTTGTTATTTACTCCACCATCAAAATAAATTAATTGAAAAATGGATTCATTTGCACCCAAGTTTCTCTGTTCTCCTGATGGTTGATGGAAGGAAGCATTGTATGAAAGAAAATAACTGTGGTGGAGAAAGCAGGGAAGCCAGCCCCTAGAAGTAGTAAAAACATTCTTTGAATATTTCGTTTTGAGTCTTTGTTAATTGTTGGTGAAAGTTTAAAATTGTGATTGTAGCAAGTCTTCAAGCACAAACATTCTACCTATGAATAACAATAGGGCAGCAACATTTTAGTAAAAAGAAACAGTCTGTCCAGGAGATGCATCCTTATTTTATGCTGTATCTGATTATTATGATAATGTTGTGATTTCCTCCATTGAATCCATCTTTGCCCTCATCACAGAAAACAAAACAAAACAAAAACAAAATAAAAAACCAGTCTGTGCCTTTATATACCTTCAGAAGAGAGGAAAAATAAAAACTTACTCATACGTTGTGGTCAGTACCCTGTTTACCTGTTACAGTAATTTGGATACTGGCTGTAAGAAACAAACCATCTGAAGCATGAATGAATGACTTAATGAATGCATTTGTTGTAAGGATAGAGGCGTGTCTCATATAGAGACCAAAGAATGGAGCAGGCCTTGTAAGTAGCATAGAACGAGCAAGTGGAAAAGTGCCAGGAACCCAGACAGTCTTCTCTCTCAGCTCCTCTCTCTGCACCTGCTCACGCGGCACTCCATGGGTGGCTCTCTGTGCCACTGAGTGCACATGGGATGAATGGCTGCAGTGTGACTTCCGTATAGTTCACTCTCCTCCAGGGTCTAGTGCAGATGGAGATGACAGTTTTAGTTCTAAATTCCCAAGGAGGTGAGCATCTAATTGGCTTATTTCAGCTCAGGTGTCCTCTTCTGTGATGAGAGAGCAGGAACAGATAGCGGCGACGTAGCTGCTGAGAGCCCCCCTTGGGCAGGCAGAGTAGATAGTCTGCCAGCGATCTGCTCACCCAGGTGTGCGCCGGTCCGAGCTCAGCCCAGTTTCATTCTTCTCCCCAGTATCACCAGAGAAGACATGCTAGCTTTTTTTTTTTTTTTTGAGCAGAGTGACTTGCCTTGTGCTTTAGCTTCCTTAAACTCTGCCCAGTCCTTCATGCTGCTCACGGTTCTAGTAATTTATCCAGACACACTCCAGTTGCAAAGGGTAAGGGGCACTTGTAAAGTTCAGTCTTGCCACAGATCTCTCTCTGGTGAAAATAAGCAGAGAGTGTGTTACTTATTAGCTTATAGGACTAAGAAAGCTGGCCCTTTTCCTAGAAGTAAAATAATTTGAGCCTTAAGATATTTATTACATTAAGAAGTTTACTTAGAATTTAGACCCTGGTTATTGGGTGATGTTATGGGTCTTGTCTTTTGGTAAAGAGAGCAGGGCCTATAGTAGTTAACAGCCACACTTCTACCGCAAGTTTGTGTTTACTAGTATGGAGAGCTGAGAATGTGGGGGACCGTGACAGATCTGTTCGTTTGTTTTTAAATGATACTCTTTGGAAACATGGCCAGTAGACAAGCAGTTATTTCCCAGTATTTATAGTCTGGGTGGTATTTTAGCAAACCTATTTAAGGGAAAATACTTGTTTTGTAACTAAACAGCCATGTTACTATAGCCGCTAACTGATTAGGTTAACATATAAATAAATGCCCAGTAACTGGTCTGGTGATATTCATGTGAAGGGTCCCATATTTCAGTAAGCTTCAGTCTTTGGCTGTTGGCTATAAACTTTCTGTGGTTTGTCCTAAGAGTCATAGCATAATAGACTGGATGGATCAACACATGAAAGAAGTGTTTCAGTTACAGTAAGAACAGTGATTCTAAAAAGTCCTCAAGATGGGTCCACGGAATAATGATCATGTATAAAAAACACTTTAATAGTCTGAGTGTGCTGGGGAAGCGAAAGGGTGATGTTAGTTCGAATTCAGTAAATTAATGAGCTGTATTTCTCAACAAGAAGTCCTGCAGAATCTAACTGGAACCCTTGAAGAAAAAGAAAGATGTGTATTTATTTAAATTGATGGTAACTCTAACATTTATTTAAAATTTGATAGTGTATTAGAGGTTAAGTGTTGATTTGGCATTATATTCACAATAAGGATTTTGAATATGTATAATCTACAAACCAACCAATAACATGGCTTTTTTTTTTTTAAACCAATATACAAAGTTCAAGAATCATTCAACTTCTGTTTATGTATTTGGCTTACAAAGCTCTTATCTTTATAGGGTTCTTTACAAGGTCCATGTTTTTTTTTTTTTCTGGAACATTAATTCCAAAGTTAGCAAATAATATGTTTCTATACCATTTTGGCCTCAAGGAAAGGTAACCCTGAAATCAAAGGAACTCAGCTTTTTTTTTTTTTTTAAAGATTTTATTTATTTATTTGACAGAGATCACAAGTAGACAGAGAGCAGGCAGAGAAGGGGGGTGGGAAGCAGGCTCCCTGCTGAGCAGGAGCCCGATGTGGGGCTCGATCCAGGACCCTGGGATCATGACCTGAGTCGAAGGCAGAGGCTTTAACCCACTGAGCCACCCAGGCGCCCAAAGGAACTCAGCATTTATTTATTTATTTATTTAGTTAGTTAGTTAGTTATTTGACAGAGAGAGAGAGAGAAATCACAAGTAGGCAAAGAGGCAGGTAGAGAGAGAGGGGGAAGCAGGCTTCCCACCGAGCAAAGAGCCCGATGTGGGAGTCCATCCCAGGACCCTGAGATCTTGACCTGAGCCGAAGGCAGAGGCTAACCCACTGAGCCACTTAGGCACCCCAAGGAATTTAGCTTTTAAAGAAAAAAGTTATCAAAGTGTGTTTCTCTTAGATGGCATCAAATATTGATTGATATCAGAATCAGAATCTTCAGAAAACCACTTGAATTAAGACATCATTTTGTTTCATTGCCATTGTCCATTGTGATGGTATAGGAGTACAGAGACCTCATTTGTCCTTAATGTTTGCATCTTATGGGAAGATTACATTATTTTATTAAAAATAAACCTGTTTCAGCACAGGTTAAGAATAAACCACATGCTACTGGCTGCTCTACCCACATGCACACTGCCCTCTCCAGACTCACCCACTGGGCCCTTCTGGATTTGCCCATTGCCATTCTGTGATACCTTTGAGCAGCACACCTTGAAATGTGGTTTGTGGACCATTGGCATCAGAGTTATCTGGGGATGTCCTTTCAAAAATGCACTTTCCTAAAAAAAAAGATCAATAGGAAAATAAAATGCATGTTGCTTAATCCCACCCCAGAGTTGTGAGAGGGGCTCAGAAGTATGCATTTTATAAGTGTTTCCAGGGAAAATCTTTATGCCCATTTAAATTTGAGAGCCTGTTGCACTGGGACACAGAGTTCAGATGGAGGCTATGGAGTCAAATGGCTGGAAATTTTGTCTGACTACTTTGGTAGCTTTGTGGCCTGGGGACATTATTTTACCTCTAATACCAACATTCCCTCATTGGTGATATGGGGATAAGGATAGCATCTCCCACAGGATCTGTGCAAAGATCACTTGCCATTAGGGATGGGAAGATTTTTGTATTACTCAGCACATGTCCAGGGCTCAACAAATCTTGTAGTATTTTTAAATAAAAGTAGTTCTCTTTTCTTTCTCTGAGCATCTGCCAAGCATATTAAATGTTGTGCTGGGTACCAGGAAATCAAAGATAAACGAGAGGTAGTCCTTGCCAATAAAATGCGTGTATTCTCAGAGGGAGCCAGGTTTATGTGTTCTCATGTTTTCTTTAGATTTCGTCTTCCTCCCTTGCCTTCTGAAAATTTCAAGCTTTCAGGAAAGTGAAATGAATAGTGTAATAAACATCCTCATGTCAATTCAACAGTTACTGACATTTTGTCACATTTGCTTCTCTGTTGGTCTTTCTGGGCAGATGTATGTCCCTGCTCTGGTTAGGCTGGTCTGTCTGTCTGTCTGTCTGTGTCTCTCCCTGTCAGTCCGTTTTGGTCTCTTTCTAAGCACAGTTGGTTGATCTTGGTCTCACTGTCTTTTCTCTCTTGGTCTCTGTTGCTCTTCTTTTATTTTCTGAATCATTTAAAAGCCACCACATTATGACATTTCACCCCTAAATGCTAACACATGTATCTCCTAAAAAACAGACATTCTTACATATCTTTACCAGTAT